CCACACACCTAGCCTCTGACCCAGAAACATCAGACGAGATCAAATAAATGCTCCACCTTCACTGTTCAGACAGTCACTATCATGGTGACAGTTACAGAGGCAGGGAGGAAAAAAGATCTGCAGACACTGTTCTCCTGATCCTAGTCCATCATCAAGAATCTATAAATCCTTAGGACTTTCCAAGGTCTAGAGCACCCACTGACCTAGGAGCAGATTCAGTTATCTACAGTTTCTCCTGGTACTCTTTCCATGAGCCACGATTCTTCAGTAGTAATGACATTTAAAGTAATCACCTCAGTGTCAACTGCTCCAGCAGCAGTAATTGTGGTACTGATATCCTGTAGATCATAGGAGAGGCTGGCTATCTTCAACTTTGGTCCCAACTGAACTAAGTTCGGCACCAAAAGTATACCTAACATCCAAGGACAAAACTGTTTCCTCAGTACCAGAATACTTGTTGTAGCATACCACCTCCAGTAACTGAACCCAGCGCCCTTTCCCATACTGGCACTGAAAAATGTTCATTCCTTGTATCTACCCATTACTCTCAAGAGGAATGGCTCCCTTCACTCCTTATGGAATGCTCTTTTGCCTAAGACGCAGACAGTCTTCTTCAGGAAGTCCTTCACATCTAGATCTAGATACAGCAAAACTTGATGTAGGAGATCACTATAGCTAAAGAGCTCAAAAGGCTAGAGACCCCTGGAACTCATTTCCTTGGCCACTATCCCATAAGCTTACCAATGTCTGTAAAGCCTTGTTATGGTAAACCGATGTCAGCTATTCAGTTGTGACACAGATCTCCACCCACAGCATCAGGAAGAGAGGTTTACCTTTCAAAACAGGTCAAGCCCATTGATGATGCATCAAGAACATGATCAGAGCTGCAGGTGAAAATGAAATTTCTCTGCACATATTTTGTGTTTGTTCCCTCGTGAAACAGTAGTTCTTGAAATTCTATAGAAATGATTCAGAATAGGCCACACCACAGCTCTCTGGATATTTTATACACCTAGTAAAATTATTACAGTAAATCCATGCTTCACTGAAGCTTTAAGGTACAGCATGATCCAGTGGATTCAAACAGCTTCAGTCATAACGTTCTGTGGCAACAGACACAGCCAATGAGGTTACACCACGGGCAGAGATGAGCAACTTCTTCAGCAGGAACTGCTAATCTACTGCTACTTTTCCAGTGAAGAATCATGATGTGGTAGATAATGCCATAGCATTTAAGACTCAAAAACAGTTCAGACAGGCAGCTGAGTATTGTAATAACCAGTACTTTGGAGAAGAAACAAAATAATTAACAGGAGTAGGGTAACATGGTGTTTCCACCTGAACTGAGGATTTGCTTTGGGGTTATACCCATTGTTCCAGAAGGAGCTATCTACTATGCAAACCATCACATTTCAACCACAGCAATGGGAAAAGAGACGTGACCACGCAGATGATTGTATATACTGAACAATCACAAGTCCCCAAATTATTTGCCATATTATTTCAACAGAACTTCTTCTGGTTTTCTTGAGAAGCAACATTTCAGTTTTTAAATAGAAGTCAGATTTATGTAATGTCTGATGATTCATACCCCACCAACTCATCTGAGAATATTCACGACTCTCAGCATTTCAGCAATCAACTCAGCTCTAATCAGATTGTTGTTGGTAAATCTGTTGTGTCGCAGTACAACATTCTATTATTATGACCTCTCTGTTGCAGGAAAAGCAGTCTCAAAGGATGGGACAAGCATCAGAACCACTAGTAGCTCTACAAGCTTCTAAACTTTTATGTGAATCACATTGAATTGAGTTTGCTGGGTTGCTGAAGATGCACAAGGATCAAAATCCAGAAATATTCCCTTCTCCGGATTGGTTTTGAAGATGCAATTGTTAGACACTGTCCTCAGAGCAGGGAGTTCCCCATCCCTGGACATGATTCACTTAGCTTCAGTAGCATCTGATAACACATCAGTATAATATTTGGTGGAGACCTAGATTTCTTACTGATGCACTGTTTTTTTTTCCTTTTAATATTATTGTAGATAATTTTCATTATTGTTTATTATTGGAGGGAAGCCCTGTCAAGTTGAAGTCTAGCAGCTACAACTGTTCAGTACAAATAATAGGGGAAAGATGAGATGCAATGAGTTAGGTTCTCAAGCTGCTTTCCCACTACTATTCACCTTCCAGCAATCCAGGAACAAGTCTACTTAATATTCCAGAATTAAGCAGCAGTCTTTCTTGTGACTTTAGATGGAGTTCTAGTTTACTTCTAGTGTTCACAGGTAAAAAGTAAATTCAGTAATATTCCCTAGCTGCACATTTCCATCAACCAATAACACACACCTCACCTCTTTCCCTTTCAAGTACAGAGGGAAGCAGGTCAAGCTCCCTCAGCTCTCTTTCTGAGCATCGTAAATTGAGAGTAACCAAAGACAGCAAGAAAAGGAAAGTTCTTAAAAATCTAGCTTATAGAAGCAAGATGTTCCAACCTCTATTTGCATATGCGTAGGAGTAGAGAGAGGAGGCAACTATCACAGCATCATTCTTTTGCCCAGCTTTTATTAATTACTCATGTACCAGAGAGAGACCACAGCCTAATGTTCCTTATGTTTATATGGTTCAGCTATGCAGGCAAATGAAAAATGCTTCAGAACCATATAGAAAGGTAAGTTTCCAGTACCAAGGCCACCACACCCAGATAAAGACATTTCTTTTCCCAAGTCAAACAAAAGTATTTTACAAAAAAATCCATTACAGAATGTCATGCACATAGACCATAGAGCATCTAATGCAATAATAAAAACACAAAGTCTATTAAAGAATGAAAGCCCTTCAGGAATTTTGCTTGACACCACCATTTAGAGAGCTCCCATGGAAAATGCAGTTATTTTAAGAGTGTATCACATCAAATTCTCCTCATCCTGACATCAGCAGCTTGCTGTTTGTGAAAGCTGCAGAGAAGCCACTCCAAAAGGGAAGAACAAGAACTTTAGAAGATTGCCTCTTCCATGCAAGAGCCCAAGAGCAACAATTTGTAGAATGAGAATATACTACTTAACTGCCTATAAGGGAAATAATGCTGACCTACTTTTGTCAGAGACATCATAACCTACTAATCGGTGATAAGGCCCCTTAAGAGCCTTGCCTAACATGTGTTAGCCAGGTTCCAATTCAAAATGAAAAAGATAGAAGTGAGAATTTAAAAAGGAAAGGAGAGCTGTAAAAAGGTTAAAGAATGCATCATAGTCTATCTAGGAGCAAGTCATTACCATTTCTCTAATCGGCTACTCTTGCAGTAGACAGATTACCTCCCATTCTCTCACTTTTTAGTTTCCTTTACTGCCTAGTGTCCTGATGATTTTTAAAAAAGCAGAAGCAAAATCGTTGCTTCAAACACTCAACTGGAAGGCCAGCCCAGGTCCACAGCTACACTGGCCATTTTGCTGACTATCAAAGTTCAAGAGCCCTTTTAAAGAACTTATTTGCTAGTCAAGAGAGAATTAAAAGGAAGAAAGTGTCACTAATTACACATGATGATCATCTCATGAAGCCTTAGGGACATTGCAGTTTATACAACAGATCTCTCACCCTCATGGGAAAGAGGAATTTAAGGACCAGTGGGTAAGATGACCAAAGAAGAAATACAAAATAGAGAAGCTCAAAGTCCTATTCACATGCAATTACATTAAATGCGATTCATTAACTAGAAATAGAAGATGGGGCACCAGACCAGAATATCAGAGCGGTAGAAGTTCCTAATGTTGATGTATGTAAGAGCATGACCAGCTCACTTAAGGTAGCTTCACTACAAAAAAGCAAGTCATAGGAATTGCACTGTGTAATGACATGATTTGCTGTCTCCAAGATCTATGTATGAAAGTGCTAAGCTTGCAAGTAAACATTTCTGACTAGTAGGATTTTATAAAGTCACCTTAGCTTCATAATCAGGTGCCATTCTCCTTTCCTGTCAACAGCACCCATCATAAAGTTCTGTAGGCCATACTCACGTTTATCTATGCAGTCGCATTATCTATGGCAGGGGTCAGCAACCTATGGCCTGTGGGCTCTCTGGTGTAATATCATCATTTATTTGGGACTAGAAGGGGATGGAGGGGAAAAAAAAAAAAAAAAAAATCAGTAAGAATAAAGCTGAATATATGCACAGGGTACTATTCACCATTGCCTTCTACTTTGCAGTATCATTCAGATCATTGTAAAGTTGGAGCAGAACAGCATTCTAACCAGATAGCACTTTACACTGCTCTAAGTGACCATACAAAGTACATGATAAAGGTGAACTGGACCAAGAGGGAGCAAGTCCCATTAGTAAGGTGGTGCTATTGTTATAGCTGCTGGTCAGCAGAGCAGCATGATTTCAGCTCAGTCTTATTTCCAACTAACATGCAGATCTCAGGTTAGTGGAGCTAATTTGTGACATGCCAAAAGGGTTGTCCCTCACTGGCCTATGCCATCACTCTCTGCACAGAACAGCTTAGAAAGCTGCAATCTTTCAAGAAATCTTTATATCACCTTATGTCTCCATGCAACAACTAAGGCTACATTCTTCAACATACATGGGTGAGGTACTTTTTAAGTAAAATTTCTAAGTTTCAAATAATGTTTTTTGTTGTTGTGGTTTTTTTTGTTTTTTTGTTTTTTACATGCATACAGCATTTTAGCAGCTATCAATTAAAGAAGAATAGTATAACAAAATATAATGTGTAACAATTAGTCAATAATTCATGCAGTTACATACACAACAGAAGAAATTGATAAACACATTGCTATTGGAGGAGTAAGAGTAAGCAATAATTGAAACATACAAAGATCTTCATTTAACAAATTTTTAAACATGTTCTTAATTCTGACCCTGTGAAGTAGACCCGCTTCTCACCTGCAAGCTTCCAACCTTCATTACCATGCTCCCTTGTATGCGAGACACTGGGCGCATCTATACATACATTAACACACTTTAGTTAATGCATATTAAATTTAGTACCTCCACTGTGAGGTACTAGGAAAATGCACATTACCCTGTTTTAATGCACATTAACTAAAAAGCATAGTTTTCAAATGACATTTAATTTGCAGTACCCTATTTTAATGAAGCTGCAATTTAATGTGCATTAAAATAGGCTGTTGCACATTAAAGTGCACATGTAGACATGCCGGACGTGTACACAATACTAAGTTTGTACTGAACAAAACTCAACTGCTATGAGAGGTTCACAGAAATATTCACAAGCCTCAGAACACTATCACTAGCCAAAAAGCTGCATTAGGAAAACAGCTACTGCATACTTTAAACTGAACTCTTTGGATCATGGAAAAGTGGGTCAAGAACTAGGATAAGAATCCAGAAGGGAGCAGGCAAAAGGACCGCTTCATAGCTTGCCTTTATTTTTTCAAAATGACATAAAATAATAAAATATTACTAGGGTTTCTCCAGTAAGTGAATCAGCATTGTATTTTCCATCACACAAGTTATGAAGTGACATCTCAGTTAATACTTGGTTGCCATTTATAAAGGTACTGTTTTGATTATAATGCTCAAATACCATCTTAAATCCATTTCTTTTTTTCTCCCCCATGAGGGATTGCTGTGTATGCCTTCTATATATCTTGATATTGTTACTGGGCCTCTTACATGGTTATGTCTATGAGAAAGTTAATTTAATATTCAAAAGTATTGGTTGCAGTCTTCAGGAAACCTTATATTAAAAGGAAACAGCTAGACATGACCATCCAACATAGTCTTTGATTTCTTAGACTTGATAACCTTCTCCTCTTAGCTGTAGCGACTTACTGGGCTGGATCCTTTTCCATGATGCATCTCTTTCACATCACTGTCATAAAAATATGAAATCCTTAGCAAATCATCCACCTTTGCACACATCCCATGACACAGGTATACATCAGAGAGGGAGAATTAAAGGGGCAGTGTCACTAATTATACATGATAGCCATTTCACGAAGGTGGGCGAAACAGATGGACGCAGAACCTGTCACTGTCTTGCAATCCCAGGGCTATCACATGCCATCATAAATTAAAAGCTACAAGAGGCTAAATTCTGATATAATCTGATCCCTTGTTGCCCTGGAAAGTGAAGAAGTAAAAACCGGTGAAGGTAACTTAGTAAAAACAATGTTTTACCCTTTGTAGGTACCAAAAAGGTCTTTGAATTATTTTACTTGTGTAATTATTCTAGCTTGCCTCCTTCTGAAGAGCTATGTGGTCTTGTTTTCTTCCCTTTTATATATGGAAAGCTAATTAATTGATCTTCTATCAGAGCCTTCCATACATTACCTGGCAGGCATTTTTCAGTATGACCATAATAAATAAGCTCACGGTACTGGAAGAGATTAATAGCTCCTTTTGAGGCACTATCCAGAGCGAAGATATTGTATATAACCTGTCAGTGGTGGTTTTACTACGCCACATACTAGAAGTGGGACTAGGGCATCATTTACAATGTCACAATTACACTGATTTCAACTAACTGCAAAAATGTTTGTAAAAATGCGTAGCAACATGGATGTTCTTTTTGCAGGCAGAAATATCGTTCAGATTAGATTATCTAATTTTTTTAGAATAGATCACTTAGATTTACATTTCTCCAAACATTTATATATCATGCTGTAAAGGAAAAAAAAGTGATTCTGTTGAAGCTGTCTATTATTAGTTCTCCTGCTATTGTCATATTTAAAAGTTTCTTTACAGCTGATAGTCTCTGCTGAAAAAGGAAAAAGAAAGAAAACTACTTTTCCCCTCCCTCCAGAATATCTATGTGTTTTGTTACCTCCCTAAATAGTAAAAGAATTATTCTTAATGCGCGCACACACACATAAACACCCCCCCCCTTTTTTAAAAGGGTAGTAGCAAAGCTAAAGAAGAGATTTTATTTCCGTTTCTGCACTTGGCTTCTCTTTATCTGTGCTATACCAGCACTTTCTGGGTTTTGGCTGACAGCAACAGCAAGGCCTTCTGCTCTCTTCATCCTTTCAAAGCTGTAGCATTCAACTTTTTCTTCATTGGAGACAGTTCTGGTGCTTACCAGATGAAATCCTTCTTTAAGTAAAGTGTCAACAAGCAGGCCTAATACATTAGTTCCGTTAATCAGCTTCCTAGCATCAGGTTTTATGGAAACATACCTAAAGTGAGAGAAAATGTAGTTGTGGTAAGACTTCTTGCAGAATGAAAAAAGTATAACAGGCCAAACTCTCAAATGATGAAATTCACCACAACTAGCCACTGTACATCTACACAATATTTGGCGTTAATATGTTTTGAGGAAAAAAAAATATTCCTTCCCTCAGAACATGGGTATTTTTCAGTTTGTCCAGTTACTTTACAAAATAAAAAAACCCTCTATTTTTCATTTAATGGAGAACTGAATACATGATTCATATCATGCTACAACTCAGATAAGAATCCTCAGACTAGGGCAAGGCCTGTGAAACTGAGTTTTTCCCCCCCAATAGCAGCACTCTCTCACAAAAGGTGACATTTCCTGTCAAATTGTCTTGTATGATGGCTTTTATGGTAACTATGAAAATGATTTTCACATTAAAGCAAGTGATTTTATTAAGTATAAAGGTACAGTTTTTAAAATGCAGACACTTCAAGGAAAAGTCAGGTAAAAATATTGTTACAAGAGGACCATAAACTGACAGACAGAACTAACTGCTCTATAGTTCATGAAGTACAAAGGTCCACAAAGGCTGTTAAAAGATAAACAGAATCCATGCCACCATAAAGAAAAGCTTGATGAAATAGAAATGAAGTAGACAATAGTAAAAAAGTTGACTTGTCTGATTAATCTACTTTTTATTCAATTGCAAAAGAAACAAGTTTAACAAAGTCAAGAGAGAAAAGATTAGAGGAAAGAACACTTCTCATTTTAAAGTTACCATAACTTAAAAAAGAAAACCTCCATTAAAATGATAATAAAGTATAAAGGTATGGCATAAGTGACATCTCACAAATGCTATGTGAGACAGCCAAATTCTACTTGCATTTACTCAATTAACCTCAATGAAAAAGTGTTTAACCCAGCATTCCTTGGATTGTTTAGTTCATAGAGAACAACCCGACTGAAGTAATTCCAGTGAAGTTTCTATATAATTTCAGATGTTCCTAAAGCCAGGGAAGACAACATGCGAGATTCTAATTTTCTTGTACAGAGACAGTCTAGTTATATAACAGAGTTGTCTATTAAGAGTTTCTAAAAGCCATTATACAATTAAATAATTAGAGCCTGATGCTACTAGCAAAGAAGTCAGTGATTTGCCACTGATTTTAATAAAAAACAGGACCAGGCTTCTAAGCTTCAAGAACATCAGCCACAGAGTTTTTGTTGTAGAACATAAACTCTACAGTTTTGGAATAGAGAAGTTTGGTATCTCAATTCTACTTTTGTTTTTCATGCCCTTTTCTCATTTAGTTCTCTCTTTCTCCACAAGGAAGTGTAGAGGACTAATATGTTTGTAGCCGTTTTACTTCCATTTCCCCAACAGCTTATTCCATATTTATCTTGGATGAACTCTTGTGGGCAAATTCTCCATTTACTTCTATTTTCCAAGCTTGTGGGTTACAGGCACTAAAGATGCTACCCCCTTGTGCTGAGAAGCATGTGTTAACTTAAACTCATTTTGTAGTTTTCAAAACTTGTACTAGACCACATCAAAAGACTCTTAGCAACCACATTGAGGAGACAAGTCAGTTTTCTTGTTTCCTCATTAAAACTGTAACCTGCCTCCTAAGTTAACAAAACTCTCCTATGAGAAATCATGGTATTTCTCTCCCCATGATCACTAAATCATTTCAACCAACAGGGAACATCTTCAGTGATTTACTTAAATTTTCAATCGCATTATGATGACTAACTACACAAACAGCAAATGCATTCTGACAGATGATCTTTAGAATACCAGAACACCAAAGAAATTGTTTAAAGGACATGAGAACTAGCCAGAGAATTAAATATTGGCAAATAGTTCTATCCCATACTGTTTTTAACTTCATGCTTTTCAATGGCTTCCAGTCTTTAAAATCTAGTGGCATTACCAGCATTCTTAAGCCTCTCACTGAATCAGTCACATTCCTCATTCTTTCTATATTAACGACGAGGTAAACTATCAAATTAATTAGAGAAACAAATTAAAATGTCAGTTGTTATTTTTCAAGAAAAATTACCAAATAGTGCAGATCAGTACATCAGAAATTACAAATCAAAGACATGTCAGTATTGGGAGAAGCTCACATAAACCAGGAAGATAGAAAGAAAACTGATCTCTGAGCTTTCAGATGCTTATCCGATAGTCTATTTTTTAAAAAGTTTTACTAGCATGTATTTCGTGAACATGCTAAGGAGCCATGCCAAGAAGAATACCTTGCCACAAGCTGGTCAGCAACAGAATAGTCTGTGCCACATTGAAAAACCAGGTCATGATGAGAAGGTCTTTCCAGAGGAACTGGATTTAGGGGCTTCTGGGAAGGGAAAGAGTTATTGTGCCAGCCCTGTCCCAATTGCTGCTCTGTAAACATACTGATCCGTCCAGCCAGTTCTTCAATAGTGCTGCTGCAAGAACCAAAGATCCGTATAAAAGCCTGAGTTTCCTGGAGCAAGAAGCGAACTTCCAATATCTCCAGTCTTGGCTTTAGCAAGTTTTCCTGGCTCAGGATATCAGCCAAGGAGCTGAGTTCATAGAAGTCGGCTTCTCTTTGTAGCCTCTGATAGTCTGAGAAGTTAGTGGGCAGTAACAGCTGAAGAGTCCTCAAGAAGTCCAAGATGTAACTAAACAGAACTCCATCTCTATCCACAAAGAACTGCCCATTCATCAGCCTGAAATCACGGTCACTGCCATTCAACATCCGTGCCAACCTAGATTCTGGGAACTGCTGCAGGGTGGAAGCCCATGTTGTAAATGTCATGCCTCCCACATTCAAAACAACCACATCTTGATTGCTCATATCTGTCTCAGAGTTCTTAACACTCTGCCCTATGTCATCCAAATCAGATTATTCTTGAACTGCAAACCACTGTTAGTACCGTTTAGTGATCTCAGTGCCTGCTTAAGGCAAATCGTGGAGCAGAGAGAGGATTCCCAGACAACAGAGTTGTAAATACAATCTACTATATGGCTTGTTTGCAGGCCTTGGTTGCTTAGCAACTTTAACTCCTGGAATCTGAATTAACACACAAACACACACATAGCTTCCAAAGGCTGAAACAATTCACTGATAATCCCAGATCCTAAAATCCTTAATAAAAGCCAAAGAATTTCCCAAAATTTTGGGCACTTGATATAAATCTGTAAATTACTGGCACAGAACTCGCTTCTATTTTCACACATTTCCACTGCATGTGACCCTCTGCTAAAGGAGAATGTAAATGTACTCTAAATGCAAAGAATGCAAGGTCATGCTCTCCAAAATGAAAGTCATTCCAAAAAAAAAAAAAAA